AGAGTTATTTTTAATCCTCAGTGAATCAGCTTAAATCTGTCATGGCGAGATACTGAAGTGCAACTTTAAAAAAAAGAAGAAAAAAAAAGGTGTTACTGTCAGATGTGAAGATTAAAATGCTGTTTGCACGTATTTAACAATCAGTTGTGCACAGGACCTGAAGGAGAGTCCAGCCTTAAAAGTAACTGTAACGTTAGTAAGTGACTGAGCAGCCGTGACGTTTCTGTTTCTCATTTAAGTTGAAGCTCTGAACATCCCTCAGTTTAGTTCAGTCAGAGCAGGAGAGCTAATGTCTGAACTACAGCAATGACTTTAATCTACATTCAAGCTCAGGGTGATTTCTTTAGTCTGGGTAAATTCATTAATGTGCACAAAACATGGCTTTCCCTGACAGCCAACTGCTCGTCTTAGCTAGCTAAGAATGTTATTTTCTGGTTACCTTACAAAATATTTACCTTACCTAAGAAGTATGGTCTATGGAAGTCATGAGGTCAAGATGCAATACGCACCCTACGGTGGTCAAGAGGGAGCTAAGATCCTGTTCGACTTCCACATACAGACAAACATAAGAGTGGTGGTCAAGCAGAGGAAGACGTCTGTAGTGAGAAGCTGAAGAAATACCACTGTGTAAGAGAGGAGCTGGAGCAGCTGTGGACGGTGAAAGCAACAATGGTCCCAGTGGTTATCAGAGGACTCAGTGCAGTGACCCTCAAGCTGGGCGAGTGTCTCCAGCAGATCTCAGGAACAACACCCAAGCAGGCAGCAAAGATGCTGCACAGGACCCTCAAGCTCCCAGGCCTCCGATAGACGACCCGAGCTGGAAGGATGTGTCAAGACAAATGACCACACATCTTCTGTCTCCAGAGATGCCCACTCTCCTCCCCACTGTTTGCAATTTTTATAGAACCACTAGAAGCAGCAATTAGACAGGATATAGTGATTAAGGGCGGAGGGGCGGATTGTGCCAGACCACATTTTGAACAACACCATGGACATTTCAGATTTCATACAGGTGGTTGGTTGTTGCGCTCTGGAAATGGAATGAAAGTGAGTGTTATCAACCCTCTGTGGTCCACGGACACGCTGCACCTCCGAATCACATGACTGATTTAAGCTGACACAGCAACAAGCTGCAGCCACACTTCAGAGTGAGTCTTGTTGAAATTGTTGAAAGTTCGGACTTCAAAGTTTTTAAATTTTAATTACAGGCCAGTAAATCGAGAGTTATGATAAAAAATATATAAGCCATGCTTTTTTCTAAATACTGTCATCATGTTTTTTTGTTGTTTTTTTAAAGCATTTTCTAAGGACAGCGTGAAAACAGTAATGAAAGGGGAAAACAAGCCACCTCTTTCCTATCTGTGGCAAAATGTACCATGTCGACCAATTAAAAACAAGTCACCACGTGGGATTTGGTTGTTTAGGAAGGCGGGAAAGTTTGGGAGTGACGGTAATGGCGGCGAGACAGAACGAGCGAGCGAGTTTTTAGAAGTGGGAGATTTGTGACGTTTAGCGTGGAGCGTACAGTTAGTCTGTTGTGTAGTCGTTGATTTTTGTTTTGTGTGTCAGTGAGGGCACTAATGAACAGTGTTGGTCAAGTTACTTGAAAAAAGTAATCAGTAACTAATTACTGATTACTTCCCCCAAAAAGTAATCCTTTACTTACTTACTTGCTGCTATACAGCATGTTAACTTGCTTTCAATCAGCTTCACAGAGGGTAAAAATGATTTGGAAAATACGTCATCACATATATGTGATTACACATT